GACAGACCTAGAGGGGGAAGCAGAGATTAAAAGCCAAGACTGGCTTTCTTCCTGCAACATTGCAGAAAACTATGCCATAAGATGTCAGTGCCCCAATCCATGGGTGTCAGATAAACAGTTCAACACGTCAGAGCTGCAGTGCCTGAAATACAGAACATCTGTCTTGTTGGGCACAGCTGTAATATTTCAAGATAAGCAGCAACTTTTAAGAAGAGATGTCTATCAAGATAAAGAGATCTGGCTCCTACACACAGTACCTGCCTCTTCCCCTATCTCATCACAATATCCCAAGCGTTGAGAACCTCACCCCCCCGAGGTCAATTGTGGCCCTCCAGGCCTCTCTGTGTGGCCCTCAATACTTTCTCTAGGCCACACCCTTCCTTTGCATTGCTTGACACACTCTTTGAATGTTTATCCATGGATGGAATGTGTCTTTGAACTCTGATGATGCCTCTTGCTTTTCTGGAAGGGGAACGGGGGTGGGGGGGCGAGGATGTTTAGAAACTACATTGCTGTGTACAAAGGAACAAAATGACATTCGTTGCTCTGCTCACTTTTGCCTCTGCATTCCCTCTGCATTCAATATGAGCTGGATTTTGCTGGGCAGTGATATTCTTCATTAGATCACATTTCAAGTGCATGTGTTTATTTATTCTGTTTTGATCACACTGCAACCTGCTACGAGCCCTGAGGACTGGGCGGGAATTAATAAACTAATTCAACAATCGATGTCAGTCTCCTGTTCCTGCCTCATGTCCTGTGGCTTGCCTGAATCTTGCACACATACATATAGTGCAAGGATCTTCATCATGGGATGAGGGGCTCCACCTGCCATTATGTCTGCTGGGAAAAGACAGGGGGCAGAAGGACAGTGAGGTGTGGCTGCTGTTGATGCTCAGCAGGGATGTAATTAGGGGATCCAGATTTGCAAACAGGACGCCAGTGTCTGTCTCTGGAGCTCCCTTTAATTTCCCAGCCCCGCTCTGCCTTTAACCTAATTAGCACTGCTGAGGCTTTGCGTGTGGCACCACCATGGAGCCTTGCTCGGGAGGATGCCTTCTCCCCTTGCATTCGGCAAGCACAATCTCCCACCCTCTCCCACACTGGGCCATATTGCCTGTCTTCACGAGGGATTTGCTCACTGCTGTGGAGTTCTTTTTTCTTTTTTTTCACGAGGGATTTGCTCACTGCTGTGGAGTTCTGTTTTCGAGGTTAGCAGCATGAGTTTGACCAAACTGCGGGAGGCAGTGGAGGACAGAGGTGCCTGGCGTTCTCTGGTCCATGGGGTCACAAAGAGTTGGACACGACTAAACGACTAAACAACAACAACACAACAACAACAACGTGGAGTTCTTTGCGTTTAAAGGATTAGCACAGAGCCACCCAGTCTCAGCCTACTGAGAGCAAAAAGGCCTTAACGTTGCCTTGAGAAGAGCCACTGGAAAACATATTCCATTCTCTTGGCTTGGTACAAAGGCTGTGTACACACTGCCAGCTTAAAATGCAGCTAGGTTAGTCCTTTTCTCAATTCAGATGGAAGCTGATCTGGGGGGAAACACATCACTACGTGCAGGTCCTGTTTTACAAACATTCGCTATGCAAAAATTCACTAAGCTGAACGTGAGGAATTAGTACCTTGCTATGCACACTGCAGATTCAGATATCCTAACAGAGAGCATTTTTTACTTCTTTGTTTCATGGGTGTAGCCAGGATTTTTGTTGGGGGGGCAGAACCTCAGTCTGCAATGTATTTTTATTGATTTTTATTGATTTGGGGTGGGAAGCTGCCCCTCAATGCCCCCCTTGGCTATACCCATGCCTTGATTACCTCTTGCCGGTTGGCTGAGGAATGGAAGGCGGTCGGGAGCGATTGGACAAATCAGAGAGCATTTTTCTACTGGTCTCTCCAGTGTTTTTTGAGTGGAGGGGGGCAAAATTCCATGTTTGGGAACATATTAGAATTTTCCCCATAAGAATCAATGGAAATCACTGATTTGTTATGTGAACACATGCCTAACATACCATTTGTAGGGAATGCATTGTGTTTAGCATGTGGGACCTGCATGTATTTCACAAGAAATGACAAAATAGAGACAGGATAGATGGATTGTGGTTAACATCATGAGTACCCCACTTCCCAAACTAGCAGTAGGAATGCCAGATCAGCTGCTCATAATGATTTAATAATTAATAATAATTAATAATATAATTGTGTAAGTGTGATCTTTAAAAACGGATAAACAATTTTGGCTGCAAAATAAGGAAACCAGCAATTAAAGCACCCTTGCCCTAGGCAGAGGATAGAAACTAAGTAAGCTCTAATTAAGGAATTTCATGGAAGAAAAGGGTTAGGGAACTAATTAAAGGGGCAGAAGCCAAAAAGCAGAAGTCATGTTAAAAAGAAAGCAACCATGTGGGAAGCAACTAACTAAAGGGCCAGGGGAGATGCCTCAGTACAGTGGTACCTCAGGTTACATACGCTTCAGATTCCAGACTCCACTAACCCAGAAATAGTACCTCGGGTTAAGAACTTTGCTTCAGGATGAGAACAGAAATCGTGCTCCGGTGGTGTGGTGGCAGCGGGAGGCCCCATTAGCTAAAGTGGTGCTTCAGGTTAGAACAGTTTCAGGTTAAGAACGGACCTCCGGAACGAATTAAGTGTGAGGTACCACTGTAATGTTTTGCCAGTCCACACTAGGCACAGCAGACAGGAAGTGCAGCTACATTTTAAGAATCACCACAAATCAAATCTGAAGGGGGAAGAGAGGGCAACACAGAAGACTTTGGGTGGCATTCTGTTATGTTTTACTTGGAGTAGACCCATTAAGATGAATGAATATGACTATGTAAGGGCCATCAATTTCAATGGGTCTACTCTTGAGTAAAATTTAGTTGAATATCATCCACTGGAATGCAATAGGATGGCAAGGATGTTGCCCAGTGGCATAGCCAACTGCTAGGGCGCCCAGGGCGGTGCACATACCCTGTGCCTGGGGGCAGGGCGAGCCACCCTTGGGGGGTGGGCAATCTGGGAAAGGGCATGCTGTGTGGAGCCTCTGTGGAGTCCACCTGCCGCTTCCCCCTCGGCTGTAGGGTGGCTGAGGGAGAGGCGGCAGGCAGTCACAAGCCCCACGCTGTCGTTTTTGAGCAGCGTGGAGCCTGCAAGTGCCTGAGCCACCACGTCACTCCCAGGAGAGACGCTTCGCTTGGGTGCGCTGCAGGCCCCGCAGTAAGTGCCACCCCCACGGTGTGGCACCCAATGTACCCCGCTGCCCCAGCTACGCCTCTGATGTTGCCTAGATTCTCTGGAAAAACAAACATGAGTGAATGAAATATGCCCATTCTGGGAGAAAGAGCTAGCACTGAAGCAATCTCAGAGAACTGGTAAGCCACAGAAATGTTCAGCCAAGTCTTACTAATTCCAACTTTTTTAAAACAACAACAACCCTGAAAAAGCTGTGAAATGGTTATGTGAACTGGTTTTGCTTCACATTTCCCTAAACTGCTCTCTGTGGCCACTCACATGTGATGATGTGATTTTACCGAAGCAAAATATTTGTCACTTGACCATTCGGCAGGACAGTGTGATACATCTTCTGCCCATGAATGCAATAATAATGTCCGATCACCCCTTCCAAAGGGTGGGCGGGGTTTGCGACACCATGCGGGCTTCCTGGGACTGGGAGCCACCTACCTTGCTACAGGGGGCCATCGCCCCACCCCCATCTCAGCAGGCCTATGGTCTGCCAGCTGGGGGTGGGGTGAGGGCCAGCAAAAGGGCCGGTGCTCTTTGGCACAGGCTCCCCTGAAATTGAATAAAGTTGTGGCCAAATTTAAACCCATACATTGTTGTCATGTCTCATTTCTGGGGAGGGGGCATTTAGCGTGGGGGCTCGTGATAATGATAATGATAATAATTTATTTCTACCTCGCCCATGTGGCTGGGTTTCTCCAGCCACTCTGGGCGGCTTTCAACAGAACATTAAAAACAGAATAAAACGCCAAACATTAAAAACTTCCCTAAGACCCAGTAGCACTGTAGGCTCTGGATATGGAGTGCTAACTAGTAAGATGCACAGCATGTGAATCGCTCTGGGCAACTATCTGCAGTGGAGCTTCCAAGTTCTGATGCTCCACCCACTCCCCATTTGGCTGTGTGGGGAATACAGCCTACTGCTTGAGTCCCTAAAGCTGAAGATTAAGCAATGAAGGCTTTTCTTGGCAGAGCTTCTCCCTACCACTATCACAGAGGAAAGGTCACCTTTCCTTCCTCTGGAAAACCCCTGTTCTACAACTGTGAGCCTTAGGCAGTGGGAAGGGGCAAGTAAGTGGCCAGTGGAGATGGAGAATAGTTATTCTCCCCTATTATCTGGTGACTGTCCAGCACCCAAAACTCAAACGATCCAGTATCCTTCTCATCTGGCACTTCCGCAGGGAAATTAATTTCCTTCTTGGCTCAACCACCAGATTAGTTTTGCAGAAAATGAATCCTGCTTCCAATTTCTTTCCACTCTCCCTCTCCATCTCTTCTGATTTGCTTGACCCTGCCCTTCTCTTCTCTTAAACCGCTTTCTCTCGTCTCTCTCCTTGCCTCTTCTTGTCCAGCCACAGCGTTACCATGAGTGCAATTTTGATATTAGATGTTTAATTCCTCCTTTCCATCATTGGCTCTGCTCCAGTTTCAGCACTGCTTAGCTAGGACAAGGACAAAGGAGACTGAAATGCATGGCTAGCTGTCAAAGGCAGGCTCAATCAGGAGAGTCACAGCTTGCAGCTCATCCAGTATTCTTAGGAGAGGAAGAAGAGGAATGCAAGAATAAAGGATCATTCATAACTCTAAAGCAATACATTTCAACGCCATTTTAATGCAGCCATGGCAATTAGGCCACCCTATTCACAAGGTTAGAAATATAGGAACATAGGAAGCTGCCAAGTCAGACCAATGGACCATCTTGTCTAAACAGTGGCTCTCCAGTGTTTGAGACTTCCTCAGCCCTTCCTGGAGATGCCGGGAATTTAACCTGGGACCTTCTGTGTGCAAAACAGATGCTCTGCCACTGAGCGATGGCCCTTCCCAAAAGAGGATTCCTGCCAAGACTCTCTTGGTGTTTCTCTGTGGGAATGAAAATATAATAGAGACCACCCATGTGGAGTAAGTAATAAAAGAATACGCTGGACACATGTCCTTTGCCTAGCATGGAGTTGATTTAAGGGCAGAATTGGCAATGGGATGGCCCTGAAATGTGTCCCTAGGCATTTGTGTCCCCACTGGGTTTCCACTGGGACAGGTGGTCACCACCTGTGATCCTCAGCATCCCCTTTCTTGAGTTATGCTGCTGTCTGTGTCTCCACATCACTGCTGTGTCCATAGAGACAACAAAGTGATGTCTGTGAGGTGCCTGCAGCCTCAGATTCCTGAAGTTCCTCTCTTAAAGAGGTTCCTGAGAGAAAATGCATTTCCTCTTGGTGGGGGGATGACTGGAGGGCTTCTTTAGAATGACACCCACTCACCACCCCCAACCCCGATCTTTTCTTGCTGGCTTATGTATTAATTAGAATGGGAGGCGAAGGGCTTGTATCTTATTCACACCTGGTGAGCTCTCTCAATAGAAGGCAGTCATTCTGCCTGGGGCTGGGATGGAGGATTCCTTTCTAAGCACAGGTATGTGAGAGATGAAGCATTTGATGGATTGAAAACAGCCAGGATTGAAGGAATTGTTTGTTGTTCCTTTTTTTTTTTAAAGGAAATTTGCAACAGTGAGGTCACTGTCATTTTTCTTATCTTGAAAGCCCAGCCTCTCCCTCCAACTCCCCCCCACTTAAAGCCAAAATTGCATGTCACTTTAGGAAACCTCACTGTGCACTCAAGTGTTCATGACCACCATTCACCTTTTGTCTCTTTAAATGCCACCACCGCCAATACTCATTGAAATCCGGTACATGAGCACCATTGCCGACTCTGGATGGTGCTGGCCCATACTGCTCTGTGACTGGGCTCAGGGGCAACCCTATCATGATGTGGCTAGTCAACGTCTGACAGTGTGGACCTCCTCTTTTACCTGCCCGCCCACCCACCTATACCACTGCAATTTTCCTCACCACCAACCCTTTCTCTAATCTTGAAACTGACAAGGTGGAAGGGAAGTCCTTTCAGTTTCGCAAATGCCAATGATGCGTCCTTCTGCCTCTCTTTTTGGTCCAGTGAAAAACTAAGCTAATAACTTTACCAATTTCACAATGCCCCTTTAAAAAAAAAAGTATTATTATGTTAGCATGTTGAAACTGGCAGAGTTTTCTCACAATATTGCACATTTCCCCCAGAGATGTGGAGTGGGAATGTGACATTTCTGAGCTTCTAGTGCCCCAGTTGGAGGGCACTATCTGTTCAAAAATGGCAGTGCTTTCATGCAATGCAATAGGATTACTTCTAAGTTTTGGAACATGAAAGTGTTTGTGCAAATAAGAAAAATACAGACGTCTTTCCAACCCCCCCCCCCCAAATTAAGCTTCCGTCCATTGTTTCCCACATAATTAAAGTGTGACAACTAGAAAAGCCAGAACAACGAGTTCATGAGTTTTTAATTGTGTGGCTTTTGGTTGATTTATAACCTATCAATTAAATTTGCATAAATTGTCATGTGCATTAAAAAAAACACACCAATTATTCTGAAGTAAGAAGCATAATTTGTTTTTAGATGCTGTGCAAATGTCATCATCTTAGAAGAGACAAAATGCGAGAGAAAAGCAAGACCAGTTCCTTTAAGATGGTGCCGTCTAAATTTTTATGAGTACTTGCATTAAATGAGGTATGTTTTAAAAGATCTGTTGCTTTATTAATTGAAGGTGCCTTTTTAGTAACTAAAAGTTTTTTTAAAAGTAATTTACTAATTAAACACTGCAGTCCTTTAAAAGATAACCATACTTAAGAGGGGAGATGAGGAAGAGGGCACATCTACAGTATGTGTTACACACACATTTCACAAAGTTCCAGGAAATCTGACCAGATACTGTGAAATTTGGCCCTTGCTTCCTGCCTCTCAGAAGTTGTATGGTCTATTCCTTTACTAAATCAAGATTCTCAGTCCAAGCCTCCATATGCAAGGCATAAGCAGCTTTCCAATGTTGCAACAGCAGTCTTCTGCCCACAATTATGGCCCTCAAAAACCACAAGTGTTTGAAGAAATCATGGTAGGAGATGACTGGCAGTAAGGCATACAAATGTATCAAGGACAAATTTAATTCTGTGTTCTACTAATTTCCAGAACAAGGTGATGCTCAGGTAGCAGCACAACAGGTATTATTTTGGGTGTTTCTCCTGACCACAGTACAACTATGTTTTTTTTTACAATAAAAACCACTTTTACAAGGTTAGACCAGACTGTTGTGTGGAATGTGCATAGTGAACCATTCACAACTAGCCATGTTTTCATTATTTTATTCAGTTGTATTATTTCCTAGTAGCAAAGTCCTGGGTTCAAGTCTACCAGACAAGTGAAGGCTGTAATCATAGACACACATATCAGAGTACATTGCCTGCCCTAGACAGCCTTGGATCTGAGCCCTAATTGAGCGAAGCTCTGTTCTGATTCTTTTTTCTGAAATAGAGCATGGATATGGAATACATTCCACCCAGGATCTGGGTATATCTAATTCCACAACAAGATTCAAGACTTCTCCTACTGCATTTCCCCAACAGCTATACTTGAAGACTATCAAAGCAACACATCCACATTTAGGGGACCCCCAGACTGGTGTCTTATTGTGGGTGCATTCTGCAAGATGTTCTGGACACACAAATGGTGCATTTGTGGCGGGTTTATTCTGCATTATTAGTTGTTCTGCAATGCTTCCCCAGTGCTACCACATTATTGTTGTCCGGAGGATCTATAGCTAAACAAAAGTGAGATAAAAATAAATCAGAACATTTGTCACATAAAAAGTAATAGGAATTAAGAAGCATTATAGGACATAACACCAATGGGAAAAGAAGCAGCGTGACAACCCCAAAACTTTTGCAGCTCCAAGCAGTATTGAAAGCAGGATCTCATATAATAATAATAATATAACTGCTCTGATAGCATTGTGAGCACAAATACAGTGGTACCTCGGGTTACATACGCTTCAGGTTACAGACTCCGCTAACCCAGAAATAGTACCTTGAGTTAAGAACTTTGCTTCAGGATGAGAACAGAAATCGCGCGGCGGTGGCGGCGCAGCAGCAGCAGCAGGAGGCCCCATTAGCCAAAGTGGTGCTTCAGGTTAAGAACAGTTTCAGGTTAAGAACAGACCTCCGGAACGAATTAAGTACATAACCAGAGGTACTACTGTAATCATGCATGCCTAATAAAAAGGACATCTGGGCGAGGGGGGGGGTCTTCAGTCCAGCGTTGTGTTGTTGGGATAAGTCCCTGTTGCTTGCTTCTCAATTTATTGTAGTGGTAGCCATCTGAAAAAAGCAGAGTTGGTCTGACGAGAGAGGCAGATATGAAGAAAACTCATTTGTGTCAAGATCCCAGCTGATGCCTTCAGATAAATTTGCTCTCAAAGAACCGTACACTCCAGCCACTCCATACACTCTAGGCCTGAGGCCAGATCCCAAACTCTTGGCAGTCCCATCCATTCTTTTTTTTAATGAACTTCCCTCATTTAATTGGGACAGGCTGCCCTTCCTTTGTTAATTACACTTCTGAGCAGGAGGCTGTTTCAGTTTGGATGACCGGTCAGAGGAAGGCGAGGAGGTTGTTTCCATTACAGAACTCAGAAGTGTGTGTGTACTGTGTATGCAGGCTGGCAATCTATGTGAAGGAAGCTGAAAGTTATTGTAAGTGTGTGAGCCTGTGGAACATTATCCTTCTCCAGAGGAAAAAAAAGATGATGATAGTCCTATGCAAGCAAAAACTAATGAGTTACCAGAATATGTTCTTAAGGGTGGATGGGATGTTGCACTATTGTCCCTCTTTTATGGTACAGCCCTCTTTCCCCAGTGAAATATCTTGATCCACCTTACCCTTTAATAAATAAAAATAATAAAGTATGAGCATGCCATTTAGACACACTTTGACAAAATTGCCTGCCTTAACATGATGCATTCTAACAACATAGGTTGGGTTTCCTAGATGCAGAATTTGAGATAATTAATAGCATAGGGTTCTCGACACCCCAATGGCACTGATGTTTTAATGGTTGGTTTTTACCATAGCTTATTCATTGCAATGCATTCCAATTTGCCAGTCTTACAAGAACTTCTCTGTGCCCTGTTATTATTGTGCAACCAAGTTTTTCTTCATTCTTGCATTAGAGGAAAATGGAGAGGAAGGCCAACTTCTTGTTTCCTTCTCTTTGTGAACATTCTCTTCTCTCAGGCCACGCTGGAAATGGAGCAGTCTGCAAATCCCCATGTCTTCCTGTTTGTTTTCTTTCTGGTGGTTAGCTCCTGGACAACCTCTTAATTCAACTCTGGAGCCATTTCCCCCAGCATTCGTTGACTAAGGACATTTTCTTTGTCTCTGGTGTCTCAACCTTTGCCACACTTTAAGCTGGGCATGCTAAAGTTCCCCAGATACCCTTGCAAAATGCATGGGAACCAGGATGTGGCAGAACAACTGAGTTCAGTTCTCTTTTGTCCATATCATCTTGCTTCTTTAGAACAGGGATGGAGAACCTGTGCCCCCCACCCCGATGTTGTTGGACTCCAACTCCTGTCTTCCCTTAGCACTGATCATGCTGCGAATTCAACATCACCTGGAGAGCCACAGGTTCCACACCCCTGGTGTGCATTCTATTCTCATACTTATCCAGACAAGAGCAAATGATGGAAGAAAGAACTCTCATCAGTTCAGCTATATCTATGTTCACAACCAATTTCATTTATACTTTGGGTATCCCTGATGCATAGCTGTCAACTTTTCCCTTTTCTTGCGAGGAATCCTATTCGGAATAAGGGAATTTCCCTTAAAAAAAGGGAAACGTTGACAGCTATGCCATCATGGAACAGCTCTGTCTGGTGAAATGCCACTCTTGGAAAAGCGATAAGCACCGCTCCTGCACAACCATAGGATAACATTATTTATG